TCACTCAGTAGCAACCACGGCGTTGGCCCCTCTCCCGGCCACGGCAATCAGGAAAGATTAACCGCAGCTGGTCAGGGACACCGGGGTTAGGGGCAGGCCACACTGGTGCTGTATTTGTTCATCCTGTCAGACGTACACGGTTACACGTACGGCATTGGCCACCGTCATCACCCAAACCATAGCCCCACCGACACACTCATGTAGCCACTGGCCCATCTGGCTGCCTGACGAAGGCTTGTCCAAAGCCGCTGGAAGCCATGGTGTATTGCATACCTCCGCCGACCTTCTGTAAAGCTGTATCCATCGTAGTTTATGACAGATAGGAGTCATCAATCCCCTACAATCTCGGTGTCCGCTCCTCGTACCCCACACGATACCACTCGTCATCGCCTCGCCCTTATTAGATGGGAAAAAAAAAAAAAAAAAAAAAAAAGATGGGATGCAGCGAATATCCCGTCTCCCAGACCCTTACACCACCTCCACGCCTTTCCCTTCGTTTGTCCAAGCGCCCACACAACCCCAATAAACCCACTTAAACCCAAAGCCCTCATGCATACACAGGCAAAGCCTCAAAACTAGCTAAAGCAAAACAAGCACATGCATTTCAGAAAAAGGCCCACCTCCTCTGCAGCCGTTGGGCAATACATATGGGGAAAGTAAGCAAGAAGGGTTTCTCCAGAGTGATGGTCACCGTCAATCACCTCTCCACATTTCTGAATTTGATTCCTCTACCGCCACATGCCCCCCCCCCGGAACTGATCATTTCTGAATTTGAAGTATATTCTCCAGTATGGGCCCTCTGAAAACTCTTGTGAGCTAGGCTACCAGAGTGGCCCTGGGCAAGTTGCCCAGCAGGGGAATAAAAAAAATACTAAAAATAAAAAGAGATATACGTTCATGTCACCGTTGAGTATCGAATGGGCAAAAAAACTTGCGCCGGCAAAGAAAACTGAGCCAAGTTCAAGTACCAACACACCGTGGTGTCAGACCGGGTGTCATATTTATACTCAAGAAGATGTACATCATTTATAATTTCCATTTGCTTATTCTTGACAGTAATGGCTATTTACTTAGCAACTTGGGTAGTACCATCTGATTGAAGTACCAACAACCGTGGTGTCAGACCGGGTGTTATATTTATTTACAGGGGTCCGCCGTGGTTTCAGAGGGGAAAACGAAAAAACAAGGCAATGCCCAACGGATACTTTTGGACTGAAATCGCTCATTTCGGGTTGGCGCATGGTTTCTTTGCTGGGGCAAGTTTTTTTTGCCTTCAGGAACATGCCGCGTCCACCGACATTTCAAAAAAAAATAAAAATCCTCTTTTATTATTTTTTATTTCAAAGTTGGTAAAGAATTTCTCTGTGACCCTGAGGCAAAAGTCGCCTCTGATTTTTTTTTTTCACCGGAGCGAGCGCCTGGGCTGTGGAGGATCGTGTTCGTGCAGCTGTGATCAGTGCTGCGCGGTGCCAAAACCTAGGGTTGAGGTGGCAGAGGCGGTGGGGGAGAAGAGGCGAGTGGGCGCAGGGTGGGGACCGCCTTGATGAAGCACTGAAATGCTTCTGCCATATCCTGGTCCCGGTCAGTAATAGTGGGAGGAGCCATAGTCCTTTTGCAGCTGTGATCAGTGCTGCGCGGTGCCAAAACCTAGGGTGGAGGTGGCGGAGGCGGTGGAGGAGAAGAGGAGTGTGGGCGCAGGGTGGGGACCGCCTTGATGAAGCACTGAAATGCTTCTGCCATATCCTGGTCCCGGTCGGTAGTAGTGGTAGGAGCCATAGTCCTTTTACCATCTGTGCTAGGACTGGTATGCGCCGCCAAAACCCCGACATCAGCCCGAAAAGTTGGTGTAGGAGATCAAAGGACATATTGGCTTGCTGACCGTAAAGGAGAGAATTCGGACAGTTGATTCCAGCTCATTCATTCCTTGTTATTGACTACTGTTATAACTTATATGACTTACAATTTCATAACAAACAATAAGATGATGGCAGGGATGATGGGGAGAATCTGGGGGATTGTGGGGGAGAGAAGATGGAGGCGAGATGACGGAGAAGTGACATTCGTTGCAGCTTGTGTTCTTCTTCTTCTTCTTCTTCTTCTTCTTCTTCTTCTTCTTCTTCCATTATTCATTTTTCTCCTTCCCTTGTCTTATTCTCATCCAATCTCTCTTTTCTTTTTTTTGCATTGATAACATGCAGGATATAAAATGTGTTTTCAAAGTCTTCGGATTTGTTATAGGAAACGCCAGTGTGCCCCAGAGTGGACGCAGTTAGCAATGAGGGTTACGTTTGGTAGGTGACTCGATCCAGGTGCCTTGAGAGTTCCGGTTTTTGTCTTGGGCTTTCAGATGGAGCATGAAACAGGTCTCGATCTGGGTACCGACCGGTAAGTCCTTTTTGTTGTTTACCTCTTGTGGAGTGTGAAGTAGGACTCGATCTGAGTACCGGTGAGACTCCATTGCTGAACATAACTCCAAGAAAGTTTCATCTCGACAGAACTCTGTACGAATTGGCGCTGTTTGGCGCAGCCCGGCAGATAAACCCTCAATCCTGACGGTTCTCTTACCACCGCCGGGATAGAGGGTTGACATAAGGGCTATTCAAGGGGGGGAAAAAAAAAAAAAAAAAGAATTGGCGCTGTTTAGCCTCCAAATTTCCACAAGGTATTGATGTGCTACATCCTATGGGAGATACGTTTCGTCGGGGGAAGAGGATAGAGGGTTTGGAGCTTGGAACTTAGAGAATTCTCACCTACAGAGCTCCTACACAAAGCGCGCCCCTCCACCTCCCCCCACTCGGTCTCCCCACATCTTTCTCCACCCCCCTCCCCCTGTCTCTTATACACATCTAGATGTGTATAAGAGACAGAGCATGGATCTCCCAAATGGACACCGATTGAAATCATACAAGAGAGTGATGGGGAACAGTAAGTAGGCGCAGGTCCACTTGGGTAGGGACAGTGAGGAAAGAGGGGCCTCAATGCAACAGTGAGGCGCAATGTCATGTCGACACAGAAAACCGTAGCCAAAAATAAACTATACAGAAAACAGTAGCAGACAGCTGCTGCGCTCAGTGGCCGGGCAAAGCGTACACCGCCAACAACAGAAGACGACTGCCTGTCCAAACAGAGCAAAGGAATTCAGGCGTAACTGCCGAGTAAGGGTCAACCCTGGCGAGACAGTGGTTTCACAGACGCACCTCAGCAGGCCGAGTGCAACAAGGGGCACGGACCAGACATCTACTGTACCTGGTGACGACAGGGGCTTGCCACACCACTGTCGAAATGCAAAAAAAAATGGATGTATCATGGCTGTGAGAAGAAATTTGACAGCCACCCCTTCAAAAGTTCCCCCCCCCTTTAGCCACACAGCACTGTTGAATGGACAAACTCGTGACTGCAGGCCGAAAACAGACACACGCCTGAGGACGGGACGAGCATTCATCCGTCCCAACCTCAGGCCCATTCACCAAATTCTGATCACAACTCGATAGCGGAGCGGACTGTTGAAAACGTCGGAGTTGCAGGCCGGGGATGGAACCGCTGTCGAAAGGAGGTGCCGAGAAGCTTTTCTTCTCACAACCCGCAATTTTTTCCCCGTCTTCATTTTCAAAAGGCTGTGAGGCGACGAGGAAAAACTTCGGAAAATTGCATTTTCGACTGTGGTGTGGCGAACCCCATTTCTCACTTTATGCTTGTCGTCCTCGCGCAGGGGCCATGCTAATCTTCTCTGTATCGTTCCAATTTTAGCGGATATCCCAAAGGATCTGTTTTCAGGTTATATCTTACAAAACTGTTGTATCACACAGGGATGCTGGACCCGGTTTCCAGCAGGTGAAAAAAGCTCCCCCACCAGTAGTAGATGGAGCCTTTGATATAGGAATTCGGTTAAGGGAGATGCTCCTTCCACCCCGGTAAGCAGAACTCCTTTTCCGGAAAAAAAAAAAAAAAAAAAAAAAAAAAAAAAAAAAAAAAAAAAAGAGCTTAAGAATTCTAAGGGCATACTCACACTAGGGGGGGGGGAAGGGGGAACGGGTGGTTGGCAGCGACGCCAAAAGTAAAATGGTTACCTGAGTACGATGCAGGACACTTGTTGTCCACAGAACGTATTTGGCGCCAGGTGGAGAGGTGAAGAGCTGTTTACCTGCTGCACACAAAGATCTAAGTCCAAGACTCAAGTACACCCAGACATTATACATACATCAGTCAACGCAACTGAGCTTATTATGTATCAAGGGATGGTGGACCCATAACTCAACTGAGCTTATTATGTATCAAGGGACGGTGGACCCATAACTCAACTGAGCTTATTATGTATCAAGGGACGGTGGACCCATAACTCAACTGAGCTTATTATGTATCAAGGGACGGTGGACCCATAACTCAACTGAGCTTATTATGTATCAAGGGACGGTGGACCCATAACTCAACTGAGCTTATTATGTATCAAGGGACGGTGGACCCATAACTCAACTGAGCTTATTATGTATCAAGGGAGGGTGGACCCATTTTCCAGCAGGTGATGCTCCCCACTGTCCCCTCCCCACCAATGGATGGAGCAAAATCAGGGAAGGACCTACGAGGGGAGGGTGCTGATATCAACCCCCCAGCAGACCAGACCAGGCCTCCTTGTTAACAAAAAAATAAGAAAGCGTGAGGTAGAAGAAATATTGAGGGAGGAGAATAGAGAAGGGAATACAGCTGCCCCCCATATGAGGAAGAGACTGCTTTTTTACTGTGTACAGTGTACTTATGTAGTAATAATAAAAATAAATAAATAAAAATAAAAAGAGAACCAAATGCTGTACTTGAAATGAAATGTGCACTTCACATAGAGGTGCAGTCCTTGAAGATCTCCACCACCTCTATATGAATATACAAATACAAATACCAGGAATATTGCTTCACCATCTTCATAACAAATGATAGTTCTCTGAAAAAAGTGTTTCAGTCTCGAAACAAACCACAAGCCGCTTGACATAATGAAGGAAAGATATTAGAGTGTTTTGGGCCACGCACTAACACGGAAAATACTCTCTCTCTCTCTCTCTCTCTCTCTCTCTCTCTCTCTCTCTCTCTCTCTCTCTCATTCCGTATTTTTCTTGTAGGGGCAGATGCAGGTCCACACTCGAAGTAAACTCACCTCCATTGGGTGTAATTTTTTGCACGCTCACTTTGCTAAGAAGCCAACCCAATTTCTGTCATCTTAAGCCACCGGTACACGGCCACAGCCTTGTAGAAATCCACTCATCGCCTACTCCGCAAATATCGTGCCTCAGGCGTACCGGGCCACAATGGCTGGCGGCACCAGCCATAAAACAAATAAACTGTGCCTCTGGCGGTTGGACAAAGCTAGGCACCCAGTGCAGCGTGTCCAGGCCTGGTTGTACTGGTGGTTTGATACAAGCATCATCACAGCCTTCCTGTCAGCACTGCAAACTGCCAACAGGCGAATAGACTAGTAAATCCAAGTCTCGGAGACTTCCCTGATCCGACTGCCTTCAAGATGAAGAAGGCAAATAGGTAAACTGCTGTGCGCCGAGTCGTTGACACAGCTGCAAGAGTCAGTGCGCCCAGCTAGAAAAGTCACCTGTTCACCCTCACCTGCTTCCTGTCAGCACTGCAAACTGCCAACAGGCAAATAGACTTAGTAAAGCCAAGTCTCGGCGACTTCCCTGATCCGACCGCCTTTAAGATGAAGAAAACGAATAGGTAAGCTGTTGTGCGTCGAGTCGTTGACACATCTGCAAGAGTCGGTGCGCACAGCTAGAAAGGTCACCTGTTCACCCTCGCCTGCTGCCTACCCAAGTGCCCCAGCGGGAAGTGATGTTCTACATTGCACGGCTTTACGACGTCAGCTTCCAGTTGCGTGAAACTCGACAACCTCCTTCCACATTCTCTCCTTCCACAACCACCACCTGCTGCTGTGAAGGCCGCGTCTTGCCAACTGAGCCACAAAGAAGTCGCTGTAATGCGTACCAGTAAAAATACCAGAGTGCCTGATGACGGCGCCGCACTCGCTTCAGGCACAGCATGTCCTGCTTCCTCTAGTCCATTGTCAGGAAGACCATATCAGAATTTCTCCACAACAGCTACTACCACACATGTCCTTTAAGTCAGTGGGCAGGCGTTCCGCACGCATGAAGAAAAAAAAGTTAAGGACCAGGGTCAATATAAGCATAGCAGTGAAGAGAGACCAGAGCTTCCCTCGATGGTGGCTTCGTCAGTACAATCTCATATGCATTTTTTCCTCTTGTGGACCAAATGCCAATCGAGCAGCGAGCGGCAGGAGTTGCATTCAGTTTGAGGACGAGGAAAAGCGCTCTCGTCCACGAGAAAAAAGACAAAAAACAACCTTGCAGAACATTTTGCAGGTTCTTACAAAGGTCACAGGACCGCCTAAATGGCATCCTGATATCATGAACCTGGTCTGGATAGTATGTGTTATGCAGACCATCAATGTGCCGACTTATGCAGGAATAAAAAAAAGAGTCAAAAACATGTAGTAGGGAGTTACAAGGTCACAGGACCGCCTAAGTGGCATCCTGATATCCTTAACCTGGTCTGCATAATATATGTTATACAGATCAGCAATGCTCACTGCTGCAGGAATAACAAAAAAGAAGTAGGGAGCTACTCCTACTCTGTCTCTTATACACATCTAGATGTGTATAAGAGACAGCTGCTGCAGGAATAACAAAAAAGAAGTAGGGAGCTACTCCTACTTCTTCCCAAACTGCTGCAATGAAATGCAAGAAGGGGGAGTGTATAGACTCTCCATTAACCATCCGCAAAAAAAAAAAAAAAAAAAAAGGGGAAAAAAGAAAAGGTGAAAACAGGAACAAAAAGGAAAAACGAACGGAAATCAACAAGCCAAACAAACAAAACCAGACTATTAAATAAAAAAAGAAACCAAGAATCCATCAACGAATCAAAAAAATTGAAGAAAAGTTAGAAAACAATTAACAAGTGCATACCAAGCAAAGAAATGAAAAAGTCATTCAGATCAAAAATTCAAATACCGAAAACGGAACTGGTGTGAGACAGCTCTCATGGCACTAAGCCAAACAAAAGTACAAAGGGGAAACAAACACTACCAAGGAACCTATGTTTAAACTACACAACAAGTTATTGAAAAATAAATAAATAAAAAAACACAAACAAACAAGGACACAAACAGAGTCAAAAGCCATAACAAAAGAAACATAAAAGAAGCCGAGACACTCCAGCAGCAGTGCAAATGCAACTGGCCTAATAGTTTTTTGTAACTTTTTACCCCATTCGACCAGCAGAAAAAAAAAAAAAAAAAAAAAAAAAGGCAAAACAAGCACTAAAGTGACTAAACGGTAGGATGGCGCTTACGGCATCAAGCCAAAATATAGCGGCAAGACAATCAAACAATAAACCAAAAACTAAAATCCGCAAACTCCGGCAATCACATAAGAGTGGAGCCGATCTGAAACTAGTAGAACACCACTATAACATGCTACGCGAGCACAGTTGAAGTGCGAAAAAAATAAAATAAAATTGGAGCAGGTCCACAGGAGACGAAAAAGTTGACAAACAAATACACGAGGGCACGATTCTGGTTTTGATATCCCGGCAGTGTCTGAAAACTTGTGAAAAGGTAATCTCGTCCCCACGAAATGGGAGACCATAAGTCATACCCCATCAAGAATAAGTCCAAAAAAAGGATAGAGAAATGGGCCCGCCCACCATGAAGATAAGATTGTATCTCATCCAGCCATAGTCAGGAATGCGAGGGCAACCAAGCATCGGTATTCTGGAAGTGCTGGAATCTCAATCCCATCAAACATACTCCGGTGCAAAAAAACAGACGGACGTCTTCATGTACAGGAGGCATCGACTGTTCCATTGTCTTCCCTTGTCAATTCTTGACAAGGAGGAAGCCAGTTCTTTGCTGTGCATCAGCATAGCCATGGGCATTTCCTCTCAAACTAAGAGCGATTAAGCCATTCCGGTGAAACTGTGTACCTACACAGTCATGAATCTGGGATATCAAGACCTTTGCGCTCCTACTTCTCACTTTTTTAAAAAATTTAAGATGATATCACAGACTGATTGAACCTAAGGCGGCACGCTCGTCACGGCATGCTGCGTGTCGGTCACCCTACCGTATCTCCACAGTCATGAATCTAGCAGATAATAAACCCGCTCAATCGTTGATTCGCGTCTGGGTCAATCGGATATCAGCGGTTCACATACTCTTGCAAACGAAGTCCTTACCACAACTGATATAATAGGACGCGAGGCGGAAGGTACATTTCCCTGAGAACAACAGAATGCCTTTGCAAGTCGTGAATCTGGCATATCGACCCCTTTGCGCCCTATTTCCCACTTTCTTTTATATATATATCGTATATATATATATATGAGATATCATAGACCGATAGAACCTAAGGCGGCACACTCGTCATGGCGTGCTGTATGTCGGTCAGCCTATCGTACCTCCACAGTCGTGAATCTGGCAGCTAAAAAAAACGCACAATCATTGATTCACGTATGGGTCAAGCGGATATCAGACGGTCACATACCCTTGCAAGCGAAGTCCTTAGGCACATTTCCCTGAGAACAACAGAAGGCCTTTGCAGGTCGAGAGAATTGTTCATGCCACTTTACGACAACAGTGGATCAAAAACAATCGCACTGCTCATTTCCTTTGTGACAGCCTTCACAAGCAACCCACGACACGCTGAACTCCAGCTAGCAAAACGCGAGAACATGCTGGCAAGAGGGAACAGGTACCAACAAAACTGTAGACAATGGAACAGTCACTAAACGCGACCATGAGGAGACTGCCCGGGGCTGACGGAAGAGACCATCATTAGGGAGCAGGAAATAGCACAGGGTAAACGGATGATGATAAGCAATCTGAAAGGACGACGCAAGGCTGTGCAGTGCGAGACATCAAATCCTATCACTTACATGGTCGGAGAGTGAAACCGAACATCACCATTCAGAGACTGACCAAAGCTGATGGCAGAGACCCGTCAAGGAGCAGGAGAGAGCACAGGGAAAGCAAAGGATCGTCGATAATCTCAAAGGAACGAGCAGTGCATGCGGTGGGAGAAGTCAATGCCTACCACTAGCAATGTTCAGAGTCAACACTCCACCCGCTGTAGCGTAAAGTCTTTGAGACCATCCCAGCCAAGCCAAGCGGCAGCCATGACAAGAGAGGCATCAACGAAGACTAAAAGGCGTCATAAAAAAACAAAGGAGTCAACAAAAATATCCAGAGGTTAATGAAACCAAATGGAAGCCAACAATGTCAAACAAATGAAAGGCATCAAAATGAGGACTGAAAGGGATCATCAAGTGCCACGAGGTGAACAAAAAGATCAAGCGGTTAAAAAAAATATAAAAAAATGGGAGCTAACAACGTCAAACAGTCGAAACAAATTGAAGTTCACGACATAAAAAATGGATGAAGACCTTGGTGCGGATGTCATGCAACGACCAAAAAGATCGTAAAACAGAACCAAAGCACAGGTCAGTTCATAACCACTGGGAAAAGGGTTAAACAGAAAACTGAGAGAAGTCAATAAACAATCTAGCAACGAGGTACACCACGGAACGGGGTGGGAAAAAAACAGAGGCCCAAGAACAGCATATGGAGACTGAACCTGGACCAAAAACAATCAAAGAAGTTGAAAGAACAAACACCAGTAGTGTGTCAAAGCCATGGAGTTATACAGGCAGTCTCTGTGAATGATCCAGCAGTTGACCTCTCCCTCCCTCCCTCTCTCTCTCTCTCTCTCTCTCTCTCTCTCTCTCTCTCTCTCTCTCTCTCTCTCTCT